GGCAGCGGGGCACACAGGATAGTATACGGGGGCTTATCATCCGTCGCCACAGTCGCAGGGGGAGAGATGGTCTCTCCCTCTTTCTGCCTTTCATTTCATTTCATCCCATCCCACCTCTCTCCATCTCTCCCCCTCTAGCTTTGGCAGAGGATGATAAGCCCCCCTATACTATCCTGTGTGCCCAGGCTGCCCTGGACAAGAGCTGCAGTGTGGAGGGAGTAGGGGTGGGGGTAGGGGCAGGGTGGGGACCTCAGAGAAATGGATTTAATCTGAATTACTCGGGCTGAAACCCCAGCTGTGTATGTGTGTGTTTTGTGTGTAGGCAGGCAGCTTGGTTTGTGTGCGTATGTACATGTATGTGTGCGCAGAAGAGATGGTGGTGGGTGGGGGCAAAAATGCAGGGCTCGAGCAACGTGAATTATTCTGGATTAGGACATCTGCTGTGCAATTCTAAAATGAGCCAGAGATATATGCTGCTGCTGCGTGTGTGTTTAGTGTAAAAACTATAACGTCGACTTCTAAACCTGCAGGATGTGTGTGCATTTTAGTTTTTTAGTAGGCCGAGTCTACGTGCATATAAGTCAAGTCGTGTATTTTTTGCATATGTAAGCATATGCATACACACGTGTGGGTATATACTCCCCTCTCCTCTGCTCCGTACCAGGCTGGCCCTTTGCCCTGATCGGGGGGAGCAGGGGAGGGGGAGTGGGGCTGTTACAGGGTAGTTCTATGCTTCTGCCAGTTCCCCTCCCATCCTACAGCCACGTTGTGTGTCCTGCTTTGGACACTTGTCGGCCCTCCTGCAGGTCTAATTGTGGCCTAATATAAAGGGGAATCCTGATGGGCCTGATGTTTCCTTTTATTGTTGGGGGAATTCTTCGTATTGCCTCGGATATTTGAACGAATGTAAAAAAAAAAAAAAAAATGAAAACGTAAGCTTAAGGTTTGCGTAGCAACCCTTAGGTTTCTTTCTAGGCTCAGACTGTTTTTATACAAGCCATGAACAGTCAGGTCCAACAAGCAGTGATGCTCATTTCTCAACCGAACATAAACACGTGTAAAAAGTTTGAGCACGTTCTCTGCGGTTGAGGAAATGCATGCTAGAAAATGTAGTAAATCATTAATTCAAACATAAATACGTGTGCCACCTTGTAGGAAAGTCTTCAGCAAATGATTTGGTACCACAATTATTTACAGAACATTGTATTCTAATAATATGTAGTTGTACAATACATAGGATTGATTCCTCCTGAATAACTACTGAAGGAAAATACTTTGCCTTTGTGTATCTTTCAGGGTTTATTAATCTTGTCATTTGACAGAGCAGCATATTTTTTTGTGTTGGAAGTTGGGGAGTATACGTTTGATGGAGGAAAAGATTTTATTATAGGGCTATGTAATACTAACCAGCCTAAAAGTAACACGCCTTCGTTGGCTCTTTCTAACCTCCTCCATAACAGAAGCCTGTAAAACCTGTTTCACCCTCAGGGCAGGTGTGTCAGTATCGCACTATGAACCCCAAGGGTGTATATGTGTGTGTTTTGTAAAGACAGAGTTACAGGAAGTGAAAACATATTTGTGCAGTTGTGCTTGTTTTTCCAAATTAATTGTGTGCACAAAAGTCTTCTTCTAAATAATCTTTCCCTTTCTTTCTCTCTTTCATGTAAAAGGAGATGGTGAGGCCCTCAGACAACACCAGCCCCTCCACTAACTGCTCAGAGGAAGACTACCGCATCAAGCCCAATGAGAACTCCTACTGTTACCAGCTTCTCCAGGAGCTGGACAAACAACGCAAAAGCGGCATCCTCTGTGACGTCAATATAGTTGTTTCGGGCCAGGTGTTCCGCGCGCACAAGAACATCCTGGTGGCGGGCAGCCGCTACTTCAAAACCCTCTACTGTCTGACCAAGGGTGAGGCCCAGGACCAGGCTACGGTCACACACCTGGATGTTGCTGCTGTGCAGGGCTTCTCAGTCATTCTCGACTTTCTATACTCCGGGAATCTGCTGCTCACAAGCCAAAATGCCATTGAGGTGATGTCTGTTGCTAGTTACCTCCAGATGACAGAAGTTGTACACTCGTGTAGGGCTTTTATAAAGGACGCCCTGAATATCAGCATCAAGCAGGAGGCTCCTGATTCAGTGGTGGTGGACTACAACAAGAGGCAGATGGTAGCCAAAGAGGGACACAGAGGACCGGACCGGAAGCCAAGCAACTTCTGGGCCACAAGCATCCTGTCAAAGCTGTCGATCAAGGCCAGCAACAACCAAGGAAAAGATGCGATGGAAGAAGACGAAGAAGGCGGCAGGGTGAAGGAGGAGACCAGCGATATAGAGGTGACAGTGGTTGGGGGTGAGGGCTGTGCCCTGGTGACCCCCGGAGCCTCTGGTAGCTGGGCCCACCACAACGACAACTCATCGGATTCAGCAGAGACCAATCTAACACAGGCGGGGAGTGCCCAGATGCGGGTATTCGTCTGGAACGAGCCAGCCACAGGTGGCGCTGCAGCAGCACCCTCTGCAATAAAACAAGAAGCACCGGACGCTGCGGCCGGCAGTGGACGGAGGAAAAAACAGACCACCACACGGCGATTCGTGTACAACTTTCCACCAGAACCCGAAGAGGGATTTGACGAGGGGATGTTCGTTCAGCCCTCAGCCTCCTACCCCAGAGAGGACTTCTCCTCCCTCTCCGAAAATGCTGGTATGACACACTTTTTTACCTCTTATTACACAACACACACTCAGTCCAACCCCCAGTCATTTCTTCTATAATACATGTATAGCTTTCACATTTAAATTTCTTTCTGAATTTCTTATTCCTATTAGCCACGCTTTATTCTCACTGTGAGCTAAAGGAGGAGGCTCCCTTTTTAAGGTGGAGAGGTGCATGCACAATTTTCGTGACATATGATCAAGAGATCACTTGAATGTAACATCTGCATACGACATGGAGATGCATATTCCCCTTCTTTATTTATAGAAAGTTCTGTTAGGTTGGGGCCAGTGTATTGCAGTGTGTACACCAATGTAGTGCATTCAGTAGCCTTAGTGCTTATAAGTCAACAGCATGGTCAAGATTGAGGAAAATAGCATTAAGAGGTGGTTGTCTTTTTACGCCGGTCTATATATCTGTGCCTCCTTGTTCTGCTTTTGACATGCATTGCTTGTATGTCTGCATCTTAAAGCTAAAATTTAAGATATATAGTTACATGATATATGTCCCCCAAATGTAACCTGTCATATAATAATATCTTTGGGAAAAGATTTAAATTCTTCCCTCACATCACGCAGTTGTAATGAGCTACCTACCAGGGGGTCAGTAAGAACTCGTACAGGTCACTTGGCTTCATTATTTGTTTCTCTGTTTGCAGTTTTGCATAATTTGAATTTAGTCCTGGAAGATTGCACTTTTGTTAATTGGGGGCAGCATTGCCTCGTGTATACAAGTGATCAGTCACCATATAGTGACAGATCTAATCATGTCATACTCGTGATGTAATTCAGTGCTAATAAGCTAAGCTGTTGCCACCTGCAGTCATGATCACTAGCTTTCATGCCCACACCATCAGAAAGCATGGCTTTTCTGCTTTTCGATCAATGCCGTTACATTTAACAGCAGGAATATTTGCTTATGAAGCTTTTAACCTGCCGTGCATAGCCAAGAAGTGAGTCACTCCCAGACGTGATCTCCACTAATCACTCCGGAGCAGGAGGCTTACGAAGGTTACGCCCACCTGGAGTGCTTTGTCTCAGCACAGTGATGTGTTGCAACATCACTGCTGAGCCTCGTTCTAAAGGAAAGATGAGACGTTTTGTGAATTCAGTTAAATGATTTTGAATCAATTCTTAACGAGTCAGATTGGTGTAATGTTTTATTGTAGAAAACCGAGATAAAAATAAATAATTTGTCCTTGCCTGCGTTTACTTTTTAACCCACACTATATTCTACGCTTGGCAAAAACATTGAATCCCTTTCATCTTTTAAGTGGCTTTCACTCTTTTAATCAATTTTTCAATCTTGCCTGATAAAACTTTCACACTCGTCATCTTCCCTTCTTCTCTGATAACTTCCTCTCCCTGTCCCTTAATCTATCAATCTATCAGTCGCTCCGTCCATCCTATCCACAGGCAGTGTAGCGCTCTTGGTAATCTCTTCTCTCAGCTCCAGCCTTCTCCTTCTGTTGGCCCCATTAAGCGTGGCACTCCATGTAACCATAATGATATCACATATTAAGTGGAGTGGAGTGGTAGGCGGGAGGGGGTGCGGTGTGTGTGAGTCACAAAGTGTGTGTGTTAAAAAAGAGGGGGGAGACTACATTTTGTGTGTGTGCACGCGCGAGAGAGAGTGAGAGAAGCCATTCCTAATGCAGGAAAATGAAGAAAGCAGGGGAAACATTTCTTCCCCCAGGCCTTCCTAAATGCACTTGAATGCTCTTAGTGCCTCCAGCTCCTCATAGGGCTCTTTTAATGTGTGCACAAAGTGATCCAGGGTGTTGTAATAGCCTGGAGAGGCGCTCACTTTAATACCAACTTTGTCTGCATGTGCGCTAACTCTCCAACCTTCTTCTCTTCATGTACCTTTTTGCTGTTTAGCTCCGTGTCTCTATTTAATGTACACTAACGTTTCCAAATACAGATATGGTTAAGACTTCAAGTAGGCTGTTAGTCACAGTAAGAGGTTTCAAGGCAACTGTTTATCCCTAAATTATAGTTTTGTGTTCAACAGTTCATTTACCTCCAAACAGTGGACTTCATTCATACAGTAGACTGTATGTTTATTGTTTAGATTTAGATCTGTGAATATTTAGTCTCTGTAAGGCCTTAAAAATTGTAAAGATTTGTCGTTGTAGACAGGATCACCAGAAATACCCTTCTTCTTCAGTTACATGTCTGTAACTGATGGACGCCCTGTTGTTTAACATGTGTGAGCGGTGGTGTCTAGAGAATTTGAGGCAGAAAAGTTCATCACATTAACCTGATGTTGTTTGATGTCAGGGTGAGAGGAGGGGCTTTTTGCCTGTTTTTTTTTCTAGTCTAGTTATATATTGAAAGTCGTATTGAATTCTGTGGGTTGTTTATTAATTCCCTCATACGTTATATGAGTTTTCAGTTCCAGTTTTGGTTCAGTTTGTAAGAAAAGTGTTTTCCAAATGGTTTCTCGGTTGTTCTCAAAATGCTTTCTATTTTGGTCAAGGATTTTTTTATTTTATTTTTTTTTTACTTAATCTGTCCGTCTATTTAGACAAGTTGAGGCAGACAAACAGAAAGAGCCACATGTACTTTGTATCTGCTAGGACAAAATATGAGCTCTCCCTACTACAATTGGAAATGAGTCAATTTCAGTTAAATCTAGACTGAAGACACATCCTTTTAAGGGGTTTGACTGAATTTTCTCTTGTTATCTGTAGGTTAAGTGTCCTACATGGAAGCTGCTTAAAATAGAAGCTTTTTAGCCTCGCCTTCAGGTCTTTCAAAAAAAACTAGCTGACCTAGTAACCCTGCAGAACCTGTTGTTGTAGATGAGCTAATGAGATGTTGACTATGGTTTTGATCTATTAATAAAAATAATACTTTATTTATTATTAGCAGTGGGATCTAGTGGTGTTTATGTGATATTCTGCGTTTGTTTACTTCCCTGTAGAAAGCTGCTGTCATGGAATATATTGAGTGTCCTGCACGTGTAGCATCAGAGCACTCAAAATCATATTTATTTAATCAGTGTCACTCCTCATCTCCTGGAACGCACATGGAAAGATGGTCTAGAATCATTTATAGACAGAAAGTCACTTATCAAGGTTTCAGCTAGTCATGGCGTTTCCCCATAGCCTCTCTCTACTCTCTAGCCCTGATGAATCTTGTGTTGCACACACAGCGCTCATTTGTTGTGACTCTGAATATGTGTCACGTGATGTCTAACATTTTGTTTACGCTTTGCTGAAAAATTGCTTTACAAAGCAAAAATGAGAATGCGTACATTTATTAGTCATGTCTACTGTTTGTTATTCGGTTATTCCATAAGGTTAAGATACACACAGACAGACACACACAGTCAAGCAGAAGAGACTTTTACCATTTTGCTCATGGACACGACTAGGCACCAAAAAGTGTAGGGTTGCGATAGCGATATCTATGGTATTGAATTTTACTATATTCGTGTTATTAAAAGAAATGGGACATAATATTTTGTTCAACAAAAACCCCTTATGTTTTCATTCCTTTAAAGGTCATTGTAACTCATTAAAACAATAATAAGTTATACGGCATTATTGTACCGTGAAAACCTCATATCGTTGCAGCCCTATTTGGTTGTGAAATGCTGACGTTAAAACTAGATAGCCCTCTTGCACGATTAGTCTTTGCTTTGCTTACATATTTCAGTTTGAGCCTACGAGCAGTCATCCTCCAATATCAGCTGTCCCAGTTTCCCACAGTGATGTCACTCGTTTGGCTTTCATTTCGCTTCAGTTTTATCCGTGCGGTCATGCTCCAAAGATGGAGACACAGTATCCCAAATGATGGTATTCTTTCTGCCGTGTTGTTTCTCTTTGCTTGTTTTTTAGGTCTTACGTCTTGTTTAAAGAGGTTGTTAAAGTAATTAAATGTTTAGGGCTGAACCTAATAATTATTTCCTTTTTTGATTCATTTGCTGATTATTTTCTGTCTAGTCTTTAAAATGCCAGAAAACATCCTGTCACAATTGTCCAGGATTACTTCTTCATATGTCTTGTTTTGTCTGACCAACAGTCCAAACCCCAAAAATATTTAGTTTTTAATTTTATAAAACAGCGGTAATGCAGAAAGCCTTCATGTTTGAGAGGCATTTTGCTGGAAAAAAAAAAAATATTTAAATTACTTAAACCATTAAGTGAATCAAATAGTTGCAGATAATTGTCTGTTGCTCAACTAAACGATTGTTTTAGCTCTAAAATATTATTATTGCATCTTTTACATTATTATTAACATAAAATCTAAAATGGCTGATACCTTTTTTTTTTTTTATTTCTTTCTTACTGGTGGATATCTCATTTCAAAATTATTGGTAATGGTTTACCAAAAAGGACAAAATGGTGACAAATACAAACCTAGAGGCATCTGGTGTTGGACAGTTTTAAAGAGTCACAGGAAGGCTAGTGTTGTGGAAAGTAACAGTTGAAAGTGAAGGGTGGTTCAGCGATACGTTACTTTGCCATTGCTGTCTGCTCTTACCACCCTGGGCCCACAGCCAAACACTAGTGGCCAATAAATTCTTGGGACTTCTCCAAACAAGACTGTTGGATTGTTTAAAGGGTGGGTGCTGCACACAGACACACACGCACACACACAGAGCAGGTGAAATACATTTGAATACACACTAGTCCCTGTTGGCACACAAACGCACCCACAAACGCACATACAATAACTTCCCCCAATCCCTATGAGGTGCAAAGCCACCACGGGCAGTCCCTTCCCTCCCTAATCCACTCTAATGCACTGGGGTTGTCCTCACTATTCCAAATATTGACCCAGGGAGAATGGAGACACACACTCACACACACACTCACTCACACACTCACACACTCACTCACTCACTCACTCACTCACACACACACACACTCACTCACTCACTCACTCACTCACTCACACACACTCTTACACACTCT